CCTTCCCCCAGGAATGGGGAGGGAATGGGGATTTTGCAGTATCCTTCCCCTGCCACACCCACCTAGCCACACCACACCCACAGAACCGGTAGTAAATTTTTTTTGAATCCCATCACATACTGATTATCAGCAAAAAGGAATAATCACTTGGAAAGGAGACTAACTAAAATAATACAAATGCCATTCAGAAGAATTCTACCTCTGTTTTGCAACTCAAAAGGAGTAAGGAAGAAGCAAGACAAACTCTTTTTGGAGAGGAATTTCAAGAAGTTGGTACTTCCACAGAGAAGGTCCTGTCTTGTTAGACCTCAAACCCAGATCATCAGACGTCAACACACAGAACTGAAACAAGTCCAGAAGATCCTGAGAGACTATTCAGTTTTACCCAATGCTTTTGGACTAAGGCCAAATTGGAGCTTTAAAAGTCCTTGGGAGAAGGGTGGCATATAAATCTAATAAACCAAAAGTCAAAGAAAGCAGTGGGAACCAAGTCACATAAAGCCGCGATGTAATCCACCAGGCCTGGATTACGTAAACATTCTAACATAGTGTTTTTTGATCTTGAGAACTTTATGATGTGCGAACTTCAACTCCCAGAATTCCATTGGCTGGCTGTAGAATTCTGGGAATTGAAGTCCACACACCTTAAAAGTTGCCATGATTGAGAAACTGTTCTAATTGGTAATGTGCAATTCCTGAACATACTAACACACTAACATTACATTCTAACATGTAGTGTTAGTCTGAACCAGTGGTGGGATTCAGCCAGTTCGCACCTACCCGGAAGAACTGGTTGTTAACTTTCTAAGCAGTTCAGAGAACTGGTTGTTGGAAGGAATCTCCTTTTGGTTTTTTCCATTTTTACAGGGCTAATCCTGTAAGGAAGGCAGGAAGGAAATATTCTGGTGTTGTTTCTAGCCTAATCCTTATTGCCCCGCTTACAGAAACTGCCTCTGTGGTTAACTTTTAGTACATTGTAACAGCTAAAGCAAAGCGCCCATTGATGTGAGTGACTTTGAGTTGGCTACGCCCACACGGTAACATGACCACTGGTTCACACCTATCCAGCTGGTCATTAGGGCAGAGAACCGGTTGTTAAATTATTTGAATCCCACCACTGGTCTGAACATAGACTAACACTACATGGAGCATAATATTTCCAAATTGGCAGTTTCTAGATGTTCAGCAAGGCTACTCCAAATCACCTGAAAGGTAATCTGGACGACAAAACACTGAATGAAATTAGGCCCAAGATCGGGTAGTCTGCGACTTACAACAGTTCATTTAGTGACCGTTTGAAGTCACAAAAAACAGTGACTTACCACCATTTTTCACACAGTTGTTCCAGCCTCCCAGATAAATATGAGCCAGTTGCCAAACACTGGGCAACTGACTCATATTTATGACGGTTCCAGTCTTGTCACCACCTGCAACCTTCTCACAAGCAAAGTCAGTGAGGGAAGCCAGATTTACTTAACAACCGTGTTACTAACTTTATATTACATTATGCCATTATGAAGTGGTATCAACCCTTCACGTGATCTTGATTCTACGCTCCTGTGTATGCAGCCTAGAACTGTGTTGGCTTTCTTGGCAGCTGCTGCACACGGCTGGTTCCTGTTTAAGTGATTGTTCACTAGGACTCCCAAGTTCCCACTCAGTTATGAGAGGGGTACAATAAAGCAATGTGCGTGGGACATCACCCCGCACGTCCCATCCCCCTGTGCATGCATGCGTGAGCCCTCCCCCCGCATGGCCCTCCCCCACCCCATTTTTGGCCTAACTCCCTGCAGTCTCCTAGTACCAAAAATGGGCTGCAGGGGGGGGGCACACACACACTGCCGCCCCGTGCTCCCCTTAACCTCTGCGCATGTGTGCCTGACCCCCTGACCCCCCCCGCATGTGTCCCCCCGCACAAGAGTGGCAGAGACCTGAAAATCAGCTGGCTGGAGGGAGGCGCGTGCACGCGTGAACGGTGGGGCTGAGCCGGGGCGACGGCTTGCATGCCCGCAGAGGGCTTTGCGCTTGCCAACTGTGGCCCATGTGCCATAGGTTTGCTCTCACAGACCTATACTGTCCATTATGTATTGGCTTTTTCCTGCCTAAACTGTAGAACCTGACTTCTTCCAACTATTGAATTTCATTTTGTTAGATAGTGCCCCATGTTCAAATCTGTCAAGGTCCTTCCTGTATGTTAAGCCTATCACCTGGAGTGCGGAGTCTCTTTTTTTCAGGCATTAAAAAGATCACCCAGAAAGGCAGTCGATAAAACTGTAGCAAATGTATATTTTCCACTGAAGGTACCTTCGGTTGAGCAGTTCTGCCCACAAGCTGTCTGTAGGGTATAGAACATCTCCCGGGCATGCTTGCCACCTTGAAGCAGAGCGGTCGGAAGCAGAAAAAGAAAAGGAACAAAACAACAAAACCAACCAAGGTAACAGAATGCAAAAGGAAATAAAAAGCACCGGGAGAAAAGAGAAAGAGAGAGAGAAATGAGGGACAGCTGATTAAAAGTCGCCATCAAAATACATTTAGAAATGAGATTAGCAAATTACGGCCAGAGAATTTAAAACGACAAGACAACATTAGGATCGCAAGTCAGTCACATATTATGGAAGAGGAGAGGAAACAAACAAACAAACAAAAAAGAAACAATCCAGCCATATAGCTTAGCTAAGGCATCAAGAACCAAAGCGTGAAAAAGGTAATTATATTAAAGTTAGCGACGATTCCATACAGCAATGTTACAGCAGTTTTTCAATGCCAGACAGTCAATCCCCTGTTCGTTTTCTCCAACCCAAATCTAGGCAGTGCTACTTTCCATTCTGGGCAAGATTGCCAATGGGGTTCAACGTACCGACGATGTCAAACCACAAGGGGATGTTAGCCGGCTGCACGGAGACCACGCCGACAATTTCCGTCACTCGGTCGCTTTCCATGATGGTGAAGTTATAGAAGGGCTCATCGAAAGTCAGAGGAATGAGGGATGGAGGTGGTTTCTTAATCCATTCAATGTGGAGGCGTGCTGTAGAAGACTTCTGGGGCCGGCCGTTGTCAACTGCTTTGATCTGTTAGGCATGGGGGGACAGAGAGGACACTTTAGCACGCTTCTCTGGGCAAAGATTTCACCCCTGTTTTGCTTTCAAAACGGCCCCTGAATCCCCACAATCATGAAATGGAGTTTTTCTGAATTACATTGCAAGGCTAGGGGGAGACATGATAGCATTGTTCCAATATCTTAGGAGCTGCCACAAAGAAGAGGGAGTCAAACTATTCTCCAAAGCACCTGAAGGCAGGACAAGAAGCAATGGGTGGAAACTAATCAAAGAGATAAGCAACCTAGAATTAAGAAAAAATTTCCTAACAGTGAGAACAATTAATAAGGGGAACAAGTTGTGTCCAAACACTGGAAATTTTTAAGAAGATGTTGGATAACCATTTGTCTGAAGAGATGTAGGGCAGGCCTATCAAACTGGCGGCCCATGGGCAAGATGCATCATACACAGGCCATGCCCTTCCCGGCTCCACAAAATCAAAAACTGTCATGATGTGTCATGTGACGTGATTGAGTTTGACACCCGTGGTACAGGGTTTTCTGCCTGAGCATGGAGTTGGACAAAAAGACATCTAAGGTCTCTTCCAACTCTGTTACCCTGTCACAACATTTTTTTATTTTTTGGTGAAAACATTTAAGGACATAAAGGAGGAAGAAAGGCACATGAGCCTTTTCAGGAAGCAACTTGGTTCATGTTGGTCAGTTTATCTTCTGAAGCTCTGTTTTGACTCTTTGCTCCATGTGGCCCTACAAAGCTAATTGCCAATTAGGTCTTTGGCAGCATTTCAAGGGAGATAAAGATGGGTGCTTATCAGCCTTATCCCGAAAGACTTTGGCAGACTTCTGTCGGACTCATTACAAACTATTTATGACTCATTACGGGCAGTGAATGAACACAATTCATAGCCGTTGAAATAAAAAGAGGGGTTTTGGGACTAAGCGTGTGCTTTTTACTCTATCAGAAAGCCTAGGTCAGAACAAAACCTATGCAAACTCTAATCAGGGTCAACGCTAGCCACACTTCACATCTTGTGTGAAGCAGCAATCAAATATTCATCAGACTTGATTAAGCACTTTGAGCTAACAGTCTTGCTTGCCATTGAACTAGTTCCCAAGTTGCAAAGTTCATTTGTTACACAGAGTGAGTTGTGAAAAGCCACCTGCTTACTCTGTAATTTGCTGCCACCATGCATCCATTGTTATGGCTTTTAAATCAGATGCACCACAGAAGGCCTGCTGTTGACCTGCATGACACACTGGCAGACACCTGTGCCCACTTAACCCTCCACCACTTGCCATCCAATTAAGTTCCTGTGAATTCCTTCCAATAATGAAGCAGGTGGATTCCAATTAATCTCTCATGTACAGGCCATCCTGCCAACTATTTTTCATATTCAGTGAGAGCGAGCCAATACTGAGTCTTAAAGTACATTTGGTTTGAATGGTTTGAATGGAGATACCTGAATTCAACTTACTGGAAGGTCAAAAATTGAAAACCCATCAGGGGCGTGATGGATCACGGATTAAAGATATTTATTAGATGGAAAGCTAATAGCCCAGGTTCGAGACCTGAGTGTGGCGTGAGAGCTCCCGTTCCTTGCTCTAGCTCCTGCCCACCTAGCAATTCGAAAACATGCAAATGCAAGTAGATAAATAGGTACCACTACAATGGGAAAGTAATAGACGTGGTTTCCTACCGGTTCGGCCGAATAGATAGTAACTTGGCCGGACACGTGACCATACCGGTTCTATCCTGGGCACAGCCATCTTTATGTTCTGTTCTGCACATGCACAGAACAATCTTCATTGAAAAAAACATCCCCCTGCCCGTTTTTAATGGTGTGCACATGCGCAGACCTTTTTAAGTGCAAATGTGCATGTGTGCAGAATGCACAAAATTTTTCAGGCACTAAACTGGTAGCAGGAACCCATCCCTGGAAAATAACAGTGTTCTGTGCACCTCAGTGTACAGTCATGCTGGCCACATGACCACAGAAATGTCTTCCAATAATGCTGGCTCCCTTGGCTAAGAAATGAGTCAGACACAACTAGACAGGGGAAATCTTTAAGATGGTTAGAAGTGTTTTATGGGCTGTAAAACATTTGTTCTAGGCCAATCATAACTTCATGTTAAGTGAAGTCGTGTTGTAAGTCGAGGACTATATATAAGTATAGCAATAGCACTTAAGACTTATATACCGCTTCACAGATGCTTTTACAGCCCTCTCTAAGCAGTTTACAGAGTCAGCCTATTGCCCCCAACAANCCTTCCCTCCCTCTCTCCTTCCCTCCCTCTCTCTCCTCCTCCCTTTTTCTTTCTTCCCTTCTTTTCCCTTCATTTTCCTCCCTCCCTCCTTTACTTCCTCCCTTTCTTCTTCTCCCTCCACTCTCCTCCTTCCCTCCCTCTCTCCTTCCCTCCCTCTCTCTCCTCCTCCCTTTTTCTTTCTTCCCTTCTTTTCCCTTCATTTTCCTCCCTCCCTCCTTTACTTCCTTTCTTCTTCTCCCTCCCTCTCTTTCTTTCCTTCCTTCTTCCTTCCTTCTTTTGCCTCATTTTCCTCCCTCCCTCCTTGGGGAGAGTACTTGCTGCTTGGAAGAAGGCCAAAGAACCTCTTTAATCATTCGATTCTCCGTCAACTCAGGGTGGTGACCTCGACCATCTCTCTCTCCTTTTCCTCAGAGCCCACCTACATCCCCTTCCTCATCGTCGGCGCCATCTTTGTCGCCTTCATCCTCGTGGGGTCTTTCGTCGCCGTGTATTGCTGCACCTGCCTCAGGCCGAAGCCCACCTCGCAAGGCCCTGCCCGGTTCTCTCTAGGAAGCTACCAGATGGAGGCCATACCCATGATCCTCGGCTCAGCCAATCTGCGCGTTCCCTCAAGACCCTCCAGTCCCGCGACCATCTCCGCTTGCCCATCGGATTCCCTCTGCCATTTCCCTCTCGTCAGGCCGGAACGAGGGAGCCGGGAGATGCCTTCACCGCCACCGTACACGGCAGGTGGCCATTCTCTCAACCTCTCTCAGTCGTCTGGATTTGCGGTGTCGACCACACCCTAGCAACTCATCCCCTTATTGATTTCTGTGTTTCCAGGATGACGTGTTTACAACAAACGCCCCACCACAATCAGTACCCTGCGGGCTTCAGTGATGTTTTCTCTGGTTTGGGGATTGCAAACTAGGCGCGCGTTGAGTTGCTCATTTCAACATCCCCGTTTCTGGCTGGGTGGAGGCCCCTTCGAGTTTAAAACATCTCTTTCAGGCCTAGGTGAATACAGTACAGGCAGTGTTCCGACTGAGGCTTCCCAAGAGCACGAAGCCAAGTCCTCGTCCCGATAAAACCCCTTTTATTTAGTGGAATTCCTCTCCTGCAAAGTCCCGGCTAACAGTCTTTCAAGAGATTTCACAGCTACAGACCTTATCAGGCTTGGAGAGCTGCCAGGCCGATATCTTCCAAACGCCACGCTGTAGCAGCAATTCCTTGGCGAGAAGTCAGGAAGAGATCTTCACCCGAATGAATTGAACTGTCTCCTGCAAACTCCCCTCCCCTTTCGCTCCTCTTTAATTCCCTATTCGTCATCCACCTGTGGCCTTACTACCAAGTCGACCCTTGTTTCTTCTCCTGGCAGCTCTGTGCATACACACACTGGGAACAGGCTCCAGCTGTTCTTCTGCCTCACTGATGTCTGACTCCGAAGGCAGCTGATAA